ACTATATGTGATCGTGCATTCCATGAACATCCCCTTATCCAGGAGATCTGCAAGAGTCCTAATTTTGACTATTTATATCTGGTGTTGCAAATAGGTTCTTAATTTCTCTGCTGCCCAAATGTCTCGCAACCTGAACTTCAGAAGGTATAATGGAATCAGATTGTGGAAGAAACCCGAAAAACAAGTAAGTGGGAGCCATCAGTTATGGATTGCTAATATAAAACCTAGAGATGAATCATGGACACGTCATCCCTGTAAAATGCTGCAGTTTAGTAAGTACGGCATGTAGGTAGCCTGCCTACTGGCTGCTACCACATTAGGTGCTAAACTGCAGCTGCACTAGCTGTCCATAAGCTTCCAGAAACAGTTCCAACTGATGCTTCTGACCTACAGAGCCTGGGTTCTGCAGATCTGTTCATCCACTGAGATCTTCAGGAGAGACTTCACTCTGCAGGTTGTGAGGAATCCTACTGATAACAGAAGCCATATACTTTTTTTACATTTATACTTTGGGGAAAGGTCTGGTTTGAAGGCTACAGGTTCAGTCTGTGTTGTCGTCCACCCATTGCCACATTCTCAACACACAGATATATACTCAAAACTGAACTGAACCTGACACGGTGTGTTATAGAGCTTAATGGAACAGCTATGAGGCAGCAGTGGCGATATCAGAGAACTCATTACCGCCATTGCATAAGCTCAGTTGTTTAAAGTATTCTGGCACTAGTTCCCAAGATCTTTCATTTCTTAATTCTCATGAACTGATGATTACTTGTGATGCTTTTAAAAGTGGCGGGGGGGGGGGGGGGGGGGGCACTGAGAAATCTCTTACAATCTACTCCATTTAAGGATCAGTTTATTCCGGTTACCGCAGTGGATGTCAACAGGATCCTGTGACCTTCGAACTCTACCACTTGCACTCGATAACGAGTGCCTGAAGTCCATCATAATCAATCACTGAAGAATTATGCAGTGAATTATCACCCAGTTACCAATTTTTCCGGTCTGGGCAAGATGATGGGGCATCATGGCCAAAAACCTCCAGGTCTACCTACACACCTCATCTGTTCTAGTTGCTTTCAGTTTGGGTTCATGCTGGACTATGGGATGAAGATAGCACCAATGATGCTGGAGACCAGCTGCCATCAGTGTGGGATTTGTCTTGTTGGGTTCCACAAGGTTCAATCTTACTCCCCATGCTATTCAATCTCTATGTAAAGCCATTAGAAGAAATCATTTCCAGACTTGGATTAAACAATAAACAATGCACTAGGATTACAGAATCAGCAAACAATGCAAACAAAAAACTGTATAACCTAGCTTGTTCCAAAAACAATGCAATAAAAGCAAGGTAATACATATAATAACATTACAGCAAGACTACAAACCTATTCCCTTACAAAAACATCCTCCAATTTGGGGGTGGGTGGGTTTAAACCTATATCCTGATCTTGCAGTAACTTTTAGTACTGAAAGGAATGCTGGATACCTCACGCAGACCCAAACATTATTCTCCAAGTCCTCAGCATATTACTGTTAGCGTTGAAGCGTCCAGTAACCACACGTACCAGGTTGGCTAGTGCTGACTATACACAGTGAATTTATTTACACAGATATTTACACACAGTCTTTTAGCAGTTCTAGACTCCAAATCGTCATGCCGTCCGACAGAGTGCTTCGCATACAAGTCATCCACCAGAGTGAAGTGACTGCTCAAGTACTGTACACAATATATACATACACAGCACCAATCAGCGTCCAGTGCTGATTCATGGTGACATTTTGGCTGATGCAACTTAGATGCAATCCTGTACCTGGTGACACATCATGTGACTCTCTCAACTGTCATTCCAGATCAGGATGATCTACACCATTAATCATTACCAGGCTGTCCTCTTGTCCCCACACAGAACAGTATGCCGTCAATTACTTGGTTCAGTTCATGGTTTGCTACTACCACAGCTCACATGCTAATCCACACAACTTTATTCTGATCTTTAAAAAGTAACCACTATTCAAGAGCCAGCACAGCGTAGTGGTTAAGAGTGTCATATTACAATCTAGGACCCTAGGCTCAAATCCCCACTCTGCCATGGAAGCTTGCTGAATGGCCTTGGGCTAGTGACACACACTCAGCCTAACTTACCTCACAGGGTTGTTGAGAAGATAAAATGATGGGGGAAACGTCGTAAGCCACTCTGCATCCCCACTGAAGAAAGGGGGGGGGAGTTAAACAAAGTGAAAGTGTACTACAGCTGGTCTTACAAACCTTATTGCAAACCTCACTGCTCCTAAAGTTCACATTACAAAGGCGACCAGTCTTTGAGGTTCAACTAGGAAAGTGAACAAGATTGGATGATGCTTCCTGGGCTACTACTGAGGTTTCCAATTGAATCCCTTTTGTTCCCTTTGACTACCAATAATCAACAAATGGTGGGCTGCTATTATAATCTGTTGACTTTTTAAATGGCTTGGCATTTGTCCACAAGACCCCAATGAACCCAGATAAAGTGTGCTTGACAACTGGAATCATGCAGGACAGGGAGGGCCTTTGACATTCCTCCATATATCAATGGTTCCTAAATACACAATACACGTTGATTCAGACTTTAGCCTCCCCTTAATCAGGCCTGTAGCCAGAACTTTGTGGCTTGTGGGGCAAATTTTTTTCTAGTGGGGCTGAAGTTCTCAGTGCAGACAGAAAAGCCATTTAGCCAACAGAAAGCTGTTACCAGGATAGACCTCTAAATTGCAAGCTGTCAACTTTAGATAACAGTTCTCAGCAGCTGCAAGTTAATAATTTCTGCCAGCCTGAGCAACAATTCTGATAAAAAGCCAGCAGGTGGGGGTGATAACTTCTATAGTCAAGAAAGCTAACACGTAGGCAGAAAAACTCTCTTAAAGGAGACCAGTTTCTTGACAGTTAGAAGGGATCCTAGAGGTCACCTACTCCAACCCCCTTGGCTCAGTGTGGGAATTAGTCAACTACAGCGCCTCACTCTGCTTAAAGGAGCACATGCCTTTTACTCTAGTAGTATTCTTAACAATAAGGAGTGTTACCTGGAATAAAAAGAATAAGCAAGTAGGTTATAAATCTTTAAGATCACCTAGGCCTCTCATGCTCCCATACTGATCCAGTTTATGAATCCTGTTCCCCACATGCATACGCTTTTGAAAAATATCGCTTCTTGTTTTTCAGAACACTGCCCAGGAGGGGGGTGAAATGCTTTGTGAGGCAAAATTTTACTCATTCAAAATGCACAGCATGGGGGGAAATGCAGGAATTTATAGCATAATTATAATTGCTGTATAAACTGTAGATATAGTTAAAAGGTTCTATTCTTTAAACAAGGATAACTTTGGTAACAATATATTAGATCTTTGGTAATAACAAACCATTTAAAAGATCAGTATTTTCAACATATTTAACTTGGTATCCAAAGATGTTTGCAATCAAAACTATTGTGACTGTATGATACCATTTCTGTCCAAATAATACACTCCTTCCTTTACTACAAAATTTGTTTTCTAAGTTCAACATTTATTTTTCAAGCTTTGCAGATAGCAAAAATGTGCTGAGGTTCCATAAGGTACTCCCTCACAGGCCAAAACTGAGGAAAGAACCATATATGCTGTCTTGAGCTCCTTTGAAGGAAGAGTAGGATAAAAATATGATAATGCAGGATTCCACTATTTTTTAAAAAATCTTGTAATTAGTCACTTTCACATAATCTAATAAAATAGGTAGAGAAAATAACTGAACCAAAACTTGTTTTTGAGCCTCAAGTCAGGAATGGGCAAACTTCCCTGAAAGATTAAACAGCAAAACACAATTCTGGCCTGTGTACAGCCTTTTAACACATATACTTCGTTGTTGTTGTTAAAAAAACCCCTCATGAATAAAAGGCTTAGTCCTGTTTTTCCCATTTGCTGCTATGGAGTCATAAAAAGCATTCCTTCCTGCAAAATAAATTCCCGCTAAAATTACGAAGAAGCCACATCTGCAGGGGAGGGAAACACTCAGATCTCTAGAGTAACAGGGGCAATAACTCAACACAAGCTAGGAAACTTGTGTGTGGGTATTTTTTTTTTTAACTGCAAGCCTCTGAACCTCAAAGGCAATTTTGCTTGACGGCTCTCACCAAAAGGGATTTCAGAAAGACCTCTGAAGAAAGTATGGAGAAGCGTGACAAGCACTAATGAAGATTTCCACCATCTACTCAAAAACTGCTTAAAAACTGCTTAACTAGAGCTCAGACTCCCTCTCAACTATGACATTAAATATACCTACGGCAGATTAACAGATCCATCAGTTTAGTAAGAAATCGATGGCAAAAACCTTCCGATCCTTTCCCCTCCAGAGGTCTTCTGAACGGCGGGGGGGAAAGTCGTGGTCCGCACAAAACACAGCGCCAAATGGGCCCTTTGCGAGGCTCTCAACCCTACGCAAAAAATGAGGAAAGCGGAAGCGAATACAGGGGGGAGGGGGGGGGGCGCTTGCTGAGCCCTGCAAAGTCGGAGAAGATAAAAGCAGAGATGGAAAGGAAGAAATCCCAACAGGGAAACACAAGGTCTACTGACACCTTCTACGCGTGAACTTTCAAAGCACAAAGTCCAGCCCCGTTTGTTCACTGCAGCAAAAAAAATAAAACAAAGCTGAAGTCCGTGAGCCAGATGAAAGCACAGCAAGCCAATCGCAACACTAAAAATGGGGAAATAGCAAGGGAAAAGGAAGAGTCGAAAGTGCTGTCGTTTCTTCCGCATGCTAGAGAATGCCCCGGAGACACCCGCGCGCCGGGCTGGGAGGTGCATCCAGAGGGCTCGGGAATCAGAGGCAACCTGAGGCGGGGGGTGGGGGTGGGAGATGACTCCATCACTGCAATTAATGAACCCAAATAAGAGCCAGGAAAGAGCCTGCTTCCACCATCCGCCATTTTGAACTCCCCTAGCCGCCCACCTTCTCCCTAACCGACCCATTTCCCCACCGCCCCTCACCGTACCTGGCACCGTCGAGATTCCAGCAACATGGAAAGGGAGGCAACGAAAAGTGGCCCTCAGGTATTGGTTTTCGGGGGACCGACAGCGGGCTCCTCCCAGCCTCTTCTCCACAGAACGGGGACAGGAGAACCTTCGAGAAGCCTCTCTCAAAAGCGTCCCCAGGGCCGCTAAACCCCTCCGCCTTCCTTCCCCCCTGCGAGGCAGGCTGGGCAGAAACCCAGCGCCCGGCGAGGGGCGTGGCTGAGGGACGAAAAGGGCGACCCGGCGCTTCTTTCGGGGGCCTTCTGTGCGCCCCCGCGAAGAGCCGCCCCGCTTGGCTGCCGCCGCTTGCAAAATAACCAGCCATGAATGTCCTCCCTCGCCGTTTTGCTCCGGCCTCCTCCTCCCTGCGCCGCTCGGCACCGCCCACAAGGAAATGAAAAAACGCGCGAGAAGATCGCCTCCCCGCACTAAGGAGACGCGGCAGCTGCTGCTTGCAGGGCGAGGGACGGAACGGCCGCACGGGGTCGACTGCGCTCGCCGCAATACTCGCCGCGTTTCTCGCGGCTGTTGTTATTGCCGGTCTGAAAGCCGCTCCCCCCCCACCCCCTAAAGTGAAAGCTGTGCTGTTGTCAGAATAGGATCTGGGAGACCCAGGTTTGAATCCCCTGCGCTGCTATGGAAGCGCGCTGGGGGGTTTGTGGGGACGAAATGAAGGAGAGGAGATAGGGTAGGGTAGGGCGGGATATAAATCCAAACATAAATAAAATAAGAATGATATAAGCTGCTTTGGTTCCCTGTTCCGGTGAAAGGTGGGGTGTAAATGAATATTGATCTAGGCAAAGATGGGGGAAGATTTATTTATTAGATTCAGTTTTTATACCGCCCTTCCCTGTAAACACGGATCAGGGCAGTGTACAAGGATAAACAACCATATTCATACTTAATTTGAGGTTAAATGTTAGTTGTAGATTTTCCAGGCTGTATGGCTGTGGTCTTGAAGATAACATAAGAACATAAGAGAAGCCAATGTTGGATCAGGCCAATGACCCATCCAGTCCAACACTGTCACACAGTGGCCAAAAATACCAGATGCCATCAGGAGGTCCACCAGTGGGGCCAGGACACTAGAAGCACTCCCACTGTTACC